GTGCGCCTTGTTCTATATGTACATATTGCTAACTATTTAGTGATTGGTGTGTGTTTAGTGATTTCAATGCTCCATTCATATTTTGGGCACATGGCTGCCTCTTGCCGTTTTCATATTGTTTCGGCTTTGCTTTCTGGCTTGACGGATACTTCTTTTTTCTTCTCTCTTCGTTTGCTTTGGCTCGTTAGGGGAATGTTGCGCTGCCTTCTTTGATTGTAGCATGCCGTAGCACGTGCTTTGGGAATTCTTGTGTTTCTTTTCTTTGTTTTTGCTTCGCTGTGTTTGAGCATACTAATACATTTGCCTGAGTGCTTTGTACTGCACTCATGGTGCATGGTGCACCATGAGTGCAGTACATAAATAAATAAATAAATATCGCTCTGATGGCACAGATTCCAGCCCAATCCTCAATAGAAGAGGAGAAGCGTTATGAGGAGCGATCTGACTCTCTCAATTTCCTCTTCACTTGTGGGAAATATACGTGTAATCTGGGACCTCAACATTTCTACCACGCTGAACACTTTTTTGTCAAAAAGAAGTGTGCCGAAACGCGTGCCGCCTTCAACCCCGCGGCAGTCGTCAAGAGGCTTATAAGGCCTTTGAGACCTATCTGGATACCATTGTATTTACTCATGGAAGACTTTTCTCACTGAGGAAAGTCGGTAGTCATTTTTTCTCTTTCCTCAGGTCTCGCAGCGTAATCATGGGAGGGAGTCGTAATCGATACAAGGTGACCTTCTTTAGGCTGGTCGTTGACCTTTCCAATCAGAAAACAGGAGACCGTTATGCGATAAATGTCGGAACGACGAGAGATCCCGGGAATGAACTCACCAAATGCGCGCAAAGACGGAACGGCTGTTAGATGACTGCGAGGCTTCACCTTTTAAGGAAAACAGGCGAGTTGAGAGCACCAAACCAGATATGTGGGCTAAGGGATATCATAAACATAAGAGGTGTAGATTTGGAAAAACCCTCAAAACAAGGAAATTGGAGACTTCCGTAGAATTGTTCCCTTGTTTATGGCGCACCCTATGTATACCTAACGGATCTCCTTCACTGAGAAAACTCTCTCAATGGAAGATGTCTAGCCGATGGATGGCGCGACTCCAGGACCGATATACCTTCCGTATCTCGCAGATTATCCATACATACCTATGTGGAGAGGATGCGGATGTAAATAGCATCCTGAACATTGGCCCAACCAAAAGCTCGCATTTGGCGGCTGGGAAACAATTGCAGACAATTCGTGTTGCCTTTCAAAAACAATACCTTCTGCACTTTGAAAAAGCATGGCTAGCTACCCGAATTCTACTCTGCCACGGCACGAAAGCTTGCATCGTGAGCATGTACCAAGATGGGATGATGCATATCAGAAAGATTGGCGGTATATGCGTCTTTGTCGACACGCACTTGGATATGAACATGAAATTGTACGAAAGCTTGATAACACGAATCCACCGTTTGCGATTGAGAAGATGTGGTTCGACACCAACTTTGACGTATAACCTACGCACCAACATCAAGACTAGACTGATTGCTGCGCCATGATTGGGCCAGGAAGGACGGCGCACGCCACATCGAGACTTATGGAACGCTATGAAATGAGCAGGGTTAAAGACGGTCCGAGAATATCGTGTCGACCCACACCGTTCACGGTGAGTCGCATTTCCAAAAAAACTTTTCATTACCTTTAGATCTTTGAGTCACGTGAATCTTGTCACGAACTCAATCGACGTGACATCGCTCTTGTCCCAACGTTCTACACAAGATCGGAATGCACCCCTTCCGCAGACTTTTTTCAATGAGCGCAGAGAACCACGAACTTCGAGAAAAGAAGCTCCTCTGTGATCAGTTGAGATAACTCGGTTTCTACTTCGAGTTTTTGGGAAGGTTCTGTTATCGACAACATCGGTGAAGAATGTAGCCAGCTCGTCGAGCATCTACATAATGCTAGAAAAGCAGAGAGTTCATTAATTACCATGGGACGTCTTCCTTCAAAGACTCTTGACATGATGAACCATCCTGGAATCATGAGATCTGCAGACAACTACCAACTGACCTTGAAGATTGTAATGCCGAGTCGAAGCAGCAGACTGAGACGAGCATTCACAAACCCGCTGAGGCTTCGCCGAATACAAGAACAACACGACAAGTCTTCGTCAATGAGAAAATTACTGCATCTCGGAAGCAGGTAGCGACCGAGACGAGTTGGAAACAATGTGATACCGGCGAAATTCTACCTAGAACCCTATATCTTCTCTGAAGAGATCGTGACTTCGACAGTTGTCTGTGAAAGATTGAATGGCTAACGGGAATTACATTAAAATAAAAGTAGGCACACATAGGAAGAACTGTACGGTTTTGTTCTGAATGACGTGATCCACACCTGAGCACCTGATCCCTTCCACCAATCACAGCGATAACCCAAACGCGGATCTTTGTCACATTTGTCAATCAGATTTCATGTTTTTATTGCAGGGAGATCAGTAAGAGAGTGTTGTCGTTTAAAAAACCAGTCGTATGGGCTACTACTGCTCA